ATTAGGCTAAAAGCTCAGGGGAAGGTGCTTTGTGCACAGAAGACGTGAAGCAGAGCAGCTTCCTGCCCCATCGTGCGGACGGGCAGGTCAGAGCAACCCAGGCCCTCCGAGCCGCGATGCTCCAAGCGCAAGGAGCAGGGCCATAGGCTCTGGCAGCACGAGTTTTATTCGCAGTTAGCAGAACAGTAAACCGCAGAGAAGTCAGTCTCGCACGCTGCATATAAGCTCCTGCACTGGCCTCCTCCTAGAGCACCTGAGCACCTTCAGGAGCACGTTAAGAGACATGGCCAACACGTTGCCCATCGTCTGCTCCCGCTCCTCCGCTCCCAGGAGCGGCCGTGCAACTCGGCAGCGCTACCTCGCTCCTCCCGTGTCCTGTCTGCAGGAGCAGTGCCAAGGCCCAGGCCATAGGGCTCCCCTCCGCTCCCGGATACCCAATGCAGCCAGCGAGGATGGAGGAATCCAGCCTGTTCTATTGCACGTTGGCACTGCGTCCCCATGTGGGGTGACCCAGAGCGACCCGGCTTCCCTCCACTGCTGCCTTCTTCCTGCGCTAGATACAACTTCTTTGGCACTTGGGCTCTTGCCTAAGGAAGGAGGAACCCCAAGAGCGCACAGCACCTCCAAGTGCCCCCCCAGCACCTTCTGGGAAGGCACAGAGTGTCCCCCAGTGGTCTCACCTGCGCAGAAGAGGGCTCAGGAACAGTCACGCAAGCCCAGGCCCTCGCTGCCCAACTCCTCGTGTCTGTCAGAGGATTAACACGTTCACAGCAGTGCCATTATCCAATATTAGACCATACAAGCACAGTCAGCGGCAGAGGAATTGGCAGATACTACAAGGATCAGCAGCAAGAACTGATGCAGAATTTTATAGGCTTCTTTCTATTCTAACCTATAGACGTTGCATAATGCTGTACCTGCCTTCTCCCACAGCAGGGCTAAATACCACACACCATGGGTAAGAAACAGAACACATTTAAGATCTATTTCTATCAGATCCATATGGATTCAGTTCTGCTGTTCTCCCCCTACCACGAGATTCTTCTCATTTGCCATCTCCAGCTCCTTACAGGGCTTTCACGCGCGCACCTCTAATCTGCAGCCCTGATGACTCTGTTTGGGGGCGACCGCAGGATCATTTGTTTGATTGCTCGGGGGATAAAATAAGGGAATGTTTTGCCACTGGTGAGAAATACAGCTTTATGGAGCAAGTCTCCAAGGACCATCAAGGCTCAGCAGGTTCCTGAGCTCCCATTGCACCAACACATTTGCTTCCTAAAACTAATGTGTTGCTCTACAGCAGAGCAATGAACATTTCTGCCACCTAAAGGGTAAAGACCAGCCTGATTAATGTCCACACAAGGCAAAAATACCATTAGAGCTCCCAGTGAGCCCATCTTGCTCAGGAGCAACTGACCCACCAGAAAGCACAGCAAGGCTGTACTGTGACACCAGGGACTGATGGCTTGGGATCTGGCAGTGAGAGCTAAGGGCTCGCAGCTACTTGTGCCTCAGTTTCCCCAGCACCGTCAAGAGGTAACTCCCCTCACTGGGAGGGGAGCTCCAGGACAAGGCCTGCAAACCTCCTTGGGAATGAACGCTTAGGACAAAAGGTGAAGTACACACTTGTGCACAACCACCTCCTCCCTTGGCACTGCCCTGAAGCACCTCAAAGAGTCACCAAGTCCCCAGCAGAGCTCAAATCGAACAGGAACGTGACAGGTTGCTAAGGATGGGGATAATGCTGCTCCCTGGCACACAGGGCTATCAACCAAGCTACGAATGGAAGAGAAGAAGCTCTGATGGGATCCTCCCCTCTGAAGAGCTCATGGGGCAAGAGCAAGCAACCAAATTTTACACACAGCGGTTGCTACTTTGGACACACACAGCAGCTATACGGGTATGGTGCAGGCTGCGAGAGGCAGGATCCCTCCAAGACTTTGGGTACCAGCTGCAGCCAGGCTCAGCTCCGCCCCCCAGCCACACTGCAGAGGACAGAAAGACGAGCAGGGGATGGAAAGTGGGAAAGAGCAGAGAGAAAAGCCACCAACCTTTCTTCTCGTATTCAGGTTTCTCCTCCCCAGCCCGGCCCAGGCTCTCCAGGGTCCGCGTCACTTGGCTGCCAAACTCGTCCTCCCTGGCGCTGGGCTCTGCCCGCCGCGGGGTCTCCTCCTCTTCCTCGTCCTCATAGTCATCCAGGATGGGGGTCTCGCGGATGGGCACCCCAATGACCGAGTTGTGGGCCTGGAGGCGCGAGTTGCGGAAGCTCTCGCGGGCCTGCGGGCCCAGCAGCACCGAAGGGATGTAGTGGATCTCGTGCGTGGCCTCCGTGCTCGCGCTCTTCTGCGGGATCCGGCGGCGCTTGTGCCAGCGCCGCTGAGCGTACAGAGCCACCGTGAAGACCAACAGGAGCAGGAGCAGAGCAATCAGGCCACCCTGCAGAGACAGGAAAGAGAGCGTCAGAGCGCCAGAAAGAGACGATCCGTACGGGGTAGGGAAGGGTGAGGAGATGCACAGCTCTGCCTCAAGTTATTCTGCCCACTCTTCCAGGGAACTGGTTTTCAATAACCTATCCTCAGTTCTACCAGTCTACCTGGCTTGCCACAAATAGGCCAAGGTGATGCTGGCTTCAATCCCTCCATCCCTGCGAGAGGAGGTGTGGAAGAAGGTAGCTCTCGCCCGCTATTTAAGAGTAGGAACCTTATCAAAACACACAAACAACCAACACTAAAGTCTCAGCAGACACACACATAAAAAAACCATGTAACAAGTCACAATACAGATGCTGTTCCCCAGGGTCTGGCTGCCCTAAACTTTCATTTTGGGTTGTAACAGATGTCCCCCCTCCTTGGAAATGGTGATAAAGTTAAGCAAAGGGCTCTCTAGCCTTATAACCAAGAAAAGCTGTGGCCAGGTATTGCATTAAGGTCACGCTTGCCCAGGGCATAAGTAGGAAAGAGGTCTTGAGTGTCAGTCTGACACTGCAGCTGCTGCTCCACTCACCATGTCCATCTCCCACATGCATCCTGCATTCTGCATGCAGAGCTTCTGCTCTCCAGAGGAGGGGTCTTTCCTCCTGCTCACACCACCAGCACATTGCATACCTTGCAGCAGCACTACATGCATCCTCCAAGGTCTCCAAGTGAGCCACCAAAGCGCCATTTCTTGTTTTGCAGAACCATCAAGTGACTTGCCTAAGGTTCCATGAGAAGTCAGTGGCAGCTCTGGGGACACACACACGCAAGACATACTCCAGTCCGAGACCCTCTGCACAAAACTCTCCTATTCCCCCACCTCTAAGATTAACTAGATGCAACTCACAACTGCATTATCACTGGGGAGAATGGAGAGAAATACTGCTCCAATCCCTGTGGCTCCATAGGAGCGGTGTCTCCTCGCGCTGGGTAGCACTGAGTGACACCAGCTCTGCCTCTGGCTGTTCCTCAAGTTCACACAGGCGCAATCTCTCCCATCCCCTACGCGAGCAGGAGGTGGATGTTAGCTTCGAGCCACTCAATCTCCCCGCAGAGCCCAGGCAATTTTATCCTGTGGCAGAGCAGCAAAGCAGGGCATGTAAATCAGGAGCAGCATGAGCAATCGGGGCTCTACAGCACGACACGTAGCCACCAGGTTAAGGCAGGCATTTATTTAGCACAAAGAATGCCACATTCGGGAACTTTACAGAATGTGCAAAAGCAAAGGGAAGACGTGTAAATATTTCATCTGCATTCAGTTCCAAACACTGTGCCATACCCAGAGCACAGCTCAGACTCATAAACAGGATCATCTATAAAGAGCCGGCGTGGAAATCTGCCATTCTCGGAGCGAGTTAGCTGGGAGGCCGGGCCCTCAGACAGCCACAACTGGATGGATTTGCGGTTGCCTTCACTGCTCTTGCCTGGCTCGATGCTTGCCATGCTCTGAGCGGGTTTGAGGGAAACGTGGCCACCCCTCTGCTGCAGCAGGGCAGCCCAGAAGCCCCAGCATCCACAATGACTGCAGGCTCCCGTGGGAGGGAACGGACACGGCACAAGGAACGGGTGATGCTCAGGATCCTACCTGGCTTTGGAAAGGGGCCTACCTGTGCTTGGAAGCAAGACACAGCAAGGACATCTCAAGATCATCCCAAAGAAACGCACTTCCTTGGGGTGAGCAGTGCTGACGCACAGAGAACCCAGGCCAGGCCAGGCCCGGGACACATTTCCTCACTCAGCGATGCGGCTGCACAGACCCAGCTCACTCCAGCACGTGCTCCACAGCTTGCTGGCCGTGGCCTCCCCACTGCATGGGTCCACCTCAGAATAGGTAGAGCAGGTCCAGGGCAGGAAGCACGAGGTCACATTTTCTGCATTTGTATCGGCTGGGAAGGGTTAAGGAAGAGATGCAGAGGATGTTCCCAAGCCCAGCACTGCGCCACCATGGGCCATGGCACAGTGAAGATAACTTAATGAACACAGATACCTTCTATCTGGATGGAAATCAGATTTCCTTTGCTCCCTCCTGCTCCACACCCAATCTCTCCCCCAACAGCTGGTTGGATGGACACACATCAGCAGAGGGTTCCACCATCCAGGCTGTGCACAGCCCTGGGATCTCCCTCCATCAGGGATCACACCCTGCCCTCCTGCAGCCTTCAGCCCATGAGAAGGAAGCACCCTGGACCTCACAGCACTGTCTGGAAAAGCCCGAATAAAACAGCCCCAGTGCCTCTGGCCA